TAATTTAGCTAAAGCAAGTGCGGAAATTTTTATTTAAAGGAACGGGGTTCTAAACAGTAAATCGACCAGTCGGGTAGTTATATTCTCCACCTCTTAAACAAACGTTCGTACTCGAACGGACATAGAAAAGTACTTAGACTGCTGAATAAGTGGGGATATCTGCTCCACATGTCCTCCTCGAACTCCCAGGTCGCCTCTTCAACCGGTTGGCCCCTCCACTGGACCTTTACCGTAGAAATCCTCTTGGACCTTAACTGGCAATCATGTCTGTCAACAATGGCAAATGGCTCCTCCTCGTAGCCCAAACTCTCATCTAACTGAATAGTACCGAAGTCCAACACATGTGACAGATCGGCATGATACTTCCGAAGCATCGATACATGAAAAACCGGATGAACTCTTGATATACTAGGAGGTAAAGCAAGCTCATATGCAACCTCTCCAACTCGCCTCAACACCTTAAAAGGACCAATAAACCTCGGGCTCAACTTTCCCTTCTTCCTGAACCTCATGATACCTTTCATTGGTGAGACTTTCGAAAGAACCTTCTCGCCAACCATGAATGATACATCACGCGCCTTCTGATCCGCGTAACTCTTCTGTCTGGACTGAGCTGTGCGAAGCCTCTCCTGAATCAACTTCAACTTATTCACCATATCCTGAACCAAATCCGTGCCAAGTAACTTAGCCTCACCAGGATCAAACCACCCAATAGAAGAACGACAACGTCGACCATATAAAGCCTCGTACGGGGCCATCTCTATGCTGGAATGGTAGCTGTTGTTGTACGCAAACTCTGCCAAGGGCAAGAATTGATTCCACTGTCCTCCAAAGTCAATAACACATGCCCTAAGCATATCCTCCAAAATCTGAACTGTCCGCTCCGACTGCCCGTCAGTCTGAGGATGGAATGCTGTGCTGAGCTCTACACGGGTCCCCAACCCACTATGAACGGCTCTCCAAAAATGGGAAGTGAACTGAGGGCCTCTATCTGATATAATGGAAACCGGTACGCCATGCAACTGGACTATCTCCCGAATATAAATCTTAGCATACCTCTCCGCTGTATAAGTAGTCGCCACTAGAATGAATTGAGCCGACTTGGTCAACCTATCCACAATGACCCAAACTGAATCAACCTTCCGTAAAGTCTGCGGTAACCCAACTACGAAATCCATGGTGATGTGCTCCCACTTCCACTTCGGAATAGGCATTTGCTGAAGTAGGCCACCTGGCCTCTGATGCTCATACTTGACCTGCTGGCAATTCAAACATCTGGCTACATACTCCACGATGTCCTTCTTCATCCTCCGCCACCAGTAATGCTGCCTCAAGTCACGATACATCTTCGTGTCACCCGGATGAATGGAGTACCTCGAACTGTGGGCCTCCTCTAGCATCCTCCCCCTCAATACATCAACATTAGGAACGCATACACAGCCCTGAAGCCGTAACATACCATCCTCACCAATAGAGATCTCCTTGGAACCTCCCTGAAGTACCGTCTCTCTAAGAACTGCCAGATGAGGATCATCGAACTGTCGGGCCTTAATCTACCCCAATAATGATGACTGAGCAACCACACATGCTAGAACTCGGCTGGGCTCTGAAATTTCCAACCTCACAAGTCTATATTAGCCAAGGACTGGATGTCCAAAGCTAATGGCCTCTCCTCAGCAGGAATGAATACCAAACTAGCCATATTTTCTGCCTTTTTGCTCAAGGCATCGGCGACCACATTTGCCTTACCTGGATGATAAAGAATGGTAATGTCATAATCCTTTAGTAACTCAAGCCACCTGCGCTGCCTCAAATTAAGGTCCCTCTGCTTGAACAGATGTTGCAAGTTGCGGTGGTCGGTGTAAACCTCACATGACACCCCATACAAATAATGCCTCCATATCTTAAGATCATGAATAATCGCCGCCAACTCTAGATCGTGCACAGGGTAATTCTTATCATGGACCTTCAGCTGACGTGAAGCATATGCAATAACTCATCCCTCCTGCATCAGCACACATCCTAAGCCAGCGCGAGAAGCGTCGCAATATACAGTATACATCCCCGAAACGGATGGAAATACAAGAATTGGTATTGTAGTCAATGCCGTTTTGAGCTTCTGAACATGGGTATAAACATGGCAATCAACAAGGATGTCGAAAAGTTGTTGATCATGGGAGACTCAGATCTGATTATCCGGCAAGCCCAGGGAGAATAGGAACCCGAGATGTTAAGCTTATCCCTTACAAGCAGCATGTGGAATACCTCAGCCAGCGATTCAAGTCAATAGAGTTCAATTACATCCCTCGTTGTCACAACGAATTGCCCGACGCACTTGCTACTTTGGCCTCAATTGTCATGCCCCAAACTCGAGGGCATGACCGGCACTCGACCGGGTATCCCCCAGTCAAGTGGACCTGGGTGCCTTTCCCATTCCACGTGTTACCCCACATTTTCCATCACCAATTAGCCAAGTAAAACAACTACTTATAATTGAAATACCTCTTACCAAAGAGGAACATACATAACATAGATAGTATTTTGCGTGGTTTACAATTTACAACGCCCAATATACAAGGTACATGATACATAGGTTCATAACCCACAATTCCTGTTTACGCAGCCTCTAAAGATAAGGGAAGATAATACAATACTTGCCGGCAACAAGGCCCCGGCTATACCTTTTACACACACCAAAAATAAGACATCAAAATATGAGAACAGAGGCGGCATGAGCCACACAGGGCCCCGGAAGGAAAGGGGCTCACCAATACAGTTGACAGTAATGAGGAGGATCTACGGACGGTGGACTGGAGTGTCTGCTATGGATCCACCTACAATCATAACACGAATGTAGCGCCCCGGGCAAAAGGGACGTCAGCACATTTGAATTGTACTGGTATGTATGAACAAACCCTATCCCAAGTAAACTCAAGCCATATATATATATATATATATATATATATATATATATATATATATATTCAAGTAGGAAACTGAAACAGCAATAGAAGCAACAACCAAACACACATGAAAAGAACAATCAAATCAAACAAGTTTATAAACTCTCATGCTATCTCCTTTCACAATTTCACATCAATGATTTCACAATTTTGCTCAAGTATTCATTTCAATAGTGATTTTGATCACTTTTCCACCCTTATTACCTCGGCCACCCTTATCACCCCAACCCACACCTTATAACTTCATGTTGCGGCACGCAACCCGACTCCGCTGTACAGTTTCAATTCACAAACAACACAACCACAACAAACAAATCACAAGGATTAGCAATGATAATTCTCAAGACACAACCACAACAAAGTTACAAGTGTTTCCATAGCCAACAGTACCATTTTCATCATGTTCAACAGTTCATGTGCAATTCAAGTCACCACACTAAATGCCCATAACAACTCAAGTACATTGTTACCACAGTTGTTCCGATTTCACCATTTATGAATTCCTTTAATCACTTATTCCTCGACTTTTACCACAAGGTGAAAACACAATCATGCCAGTCACAAGAAGCTCACAAATAACCCACATAGATATCAACTACCAAGCAATTCACACACCAAACAAGGCGATTTCACAAGGATGAAAGTTAGCCATACATACCTGGAGCAGAATTTTCTCTTTTTCACTTCTTTTTTCAATTCACCAAGCAATCAAGCAACGTCAATCTAGTTCATGTTCACAAATAGCACACATGTGTCTTAGAAATAGGAAGTTCATACCCTACTACCCGAGCCCATCTAGGTTACAAAACATGGTTCCTTACTTCTACCCAATTCCTCTTGTTAGATTATAGGTCCTTAAAGACATGCATGTGAGTTTCCAACCATAATTTCAAGAATCAATGCATGAGACTCCCTCCCTATCTTAAGTCTGAAAATCAAGGAAAAAGGGTTAGGGATTTTACCTGTATGAGTGGGGATAAAGACAGTAAATTAGAATTTCCCGGCTCGGATAGTTTTGGAGAATCAATTTGATGAAGACCCCTTTCTCTCTCAAGAACTCTCTCTTACCTCTCTCTTGTTTTGTTCAGAAAATATGTAAAAATGAGGGGTTGGGGTGTTTTAATAGAAAAGGGGTCGGGTTTAAAATTTTAGAAAATGACAGCCCGAGCAGGATCTGTGGTCGCATTCTGCGATCGCAGAGATGAAATGCGGTCCATAGACTGGACCGCAGAAGGGTCCCAAATTTTGGACCTCTCTGCCTGAGAATGCGATGGAAATGCGGTCTGCATTCCTGTTCTGCAGTCGCATATTGCACAGCAAAACTGAACTTCACGAATTCTCAAGGATTTTATGCGGCAACTATGCGGTCCGCATATTGATTATGCGACCGCATAATGGACCGCATTTTCAACACCAAATTGGACTGCTCTCTGATTAACTCTGCGGCAGAAATGTGGTCCGCATACCTGATCTGCGACCGCATTCTGGACCGCAAAACGACACTTTTCTGGAAAACTTTTACTCTAGATTTTTAAGAGCAAAATTAGCAAAAAAGGTCTGACCCGCGGTGAGCTTTACATAGTGCCAACACGTAGGTGGACTTGACTCTATGAGCTGCTAGGATTTGAGTACTCATTTTCATGGGGTCTTACATCAATACTGCCATATCCAGGAAATGCTCATATAAATCCCTTGGAAATCCAAATCCAGGAAAGGCATGGTTATTATAATACAGTCGAAGCAGCACCAAATACCCAACCATGGTACCATGACATCAAAAGGTTTCTGAAAACACAAGAATACCCCGAGCAAGCTAGTAGGGACCAAAATAGAACCATTAGATGGCACGTGAGTGGTTTCTTTTTGAGTGGTGATGTCTTGTACAAAAGAACTCCGGACCTCAACTTGTTAAGATGTGTTGACGCAGAAGAGGCTAGAAGAATCATGCATGAGTTACACACGGGAGTATGTGAACCCCACATGAACAGATACGTTCTAGCAAAGAAAATCCTTAGAGCAGGCTATTACTGGATAACCATGGAAAAAGAATGTTTCAGCATTGTCCGGAAGTGTCATCAGTGTCAGGTACATGGTGATTTGATTCATGCACTGCCCATTGAACTGCATCCCATGTCAGCACCGTGGCCATTTGTTGCTTGGGGAATGGACGTCATTGGGACAATCGAGCTGAAAGCCTCAAATGGTCACAGATTCATATTGGTTGCCACTACTACTTCACGAAATGGGTTGAAGCCATCACTCTCAAATCTGTCACCAAGGAAGCTGTAGTAGATTTTGTGCACTCCAATCTTATCTGCCGTTTTGACATTCCTGCAACTATTATCACAAATAATGCTGCAAACTTGAATAGTCGCCTGATGGAGGAGATATGCGAACAATTCAATATAATGCATAGGAACTCTACTCCATATCGGCCCAAAGCCAATGGTGCCGTCGAGACAGCAAACAAGAACATCAAGAAGATTTTGAGAAAGATAATTCAGAGCTCCAGGCAATGGCATGAAAAGTTGCCTTTTGCATTACTGAGATATCGCACTACGGTGTGCGCACATCAATAGGAGCAACCCCATACCTCTTGGTCTATGTCTTTGAGGCCGTGATACCCGCCGAGGTTGAAATCCCTTCTCTCTGGATCATCGTTGAAGCAGAAATCGAGGATAGTGAGTGGGTCAAGACTCATCTGGAATAGTTGACCTTGATTGATGAAAAGCAAATGGATGCAGTCTACCACGGGCAGTTGTACCAACAAAGAATGGCCCGTGCTTATAATAAGAAAGTGCGGCCCAATAATTTCAAAGTGGGACAACTCGTGTTAAGACGCATTCTTCCACATCATCAGGAAGCGAAAGGAAAATTCGCTCCTAATTGGAAAGGCCCGTACATCATTGTAAGCACGTGATTTTTGCTCCACAGACAATCACTCCAAAATACAATCATTGACACCTCGCTGTACAATTTTTTTATTTTACGTGATATATGCTGGTAGTCACTTGTGGTTCTGTCCATTTTTCATTTTTATCTTATCAAGCAAAATACAAAATATGTATGTCATGTTAATTAAGCCATAATTTAGTCATTAAAAGAAAATTCACAAAATATGCGTCTTTTATTTTAGGCTGTGATTTAACCATTTAAAGAATTTGTAATATGTGTATGATAATTGTGTTAAGTGTTGATTAATGTGTGTTTTTAAACTCATTTTAATGTAGTTGTATTTTAAAATTAGAAAATAAAGGAAAAGAGTGCAAATTATTTAGAAAAATCGGATTGGGCCTATTTGTTTCAAAATTTCAAGGCCCAGAAACATCCCAAACACAGGCTGCCCGGACATGGTCCAAACGGCATCGTTCTGTCCCGTCTAAGCTGGGCCGTTGATCTCAAACGAATCAACGGCCAGGATCACATCC